CCGAGGAACACGATGGGAAGGCTTAGGTGGGAGTCTGGGGGCAGGACAAGGAATCCGGAGGCGGAATGGTGGGCGTGGGCGGTTCCCGGGTACGGAATGAGTGGGGTGGGGGGGGGATGGGAGGACCGTGGGCGAGATCCCGGGGCTAGCTGTGCAGGCGCGCGGCAGGTCCCGCCACCCCCAGGCCACCTAGGCCTCCAGTAAAGGTGGAAGAAGATAGATCTGAGATTCCTTTAAACCTCAATGCCCAGCTGGTCCATAGGCCAGATTCTGATCTGTGACCTCTTTTTATTTGCTTTACACAGAAATAGCAAGTCTTATTTTTTACTTGCTCTTCTTCAGCTTACGCTTCGGACCTGAGAACAACACAGATTTAGACGATCATAATTGTTGCACCCATCTAGGGAAACCTGCCCTGTTCCTTCCTACCTCCCCAAACTTGCCTCGTGGAGATAGGGTCCCAGTCCCTCCTGCATGGCGTTTCCATCCAGGCCTTGGAAAATTATAACCGTGCCAGGAACCACAGTGTCGGAACTGGCTGGCTGTTGCTACTACAACCCAGCAGATGGAGAGTTGTGCCGCACCCTGTAGGATTGCCACATGGGGTGACTTGGGGTTAATGGCTCAGGCGTCTGCTCCAGTCCCCAAACAAGGCAGAAATGGGGCTCCCCCGTTGGGCTGTAGCTTCCCAAACGCTTGTGTCCAGAATCTTAGGAGCATGAGTCAACTCACGGCACTCTCTGCAAATGAGCAGCAATGTGACCACACAGCTTCATGTGCCTTTTACTTCTGATGGAAAGCACCACCAAACAAAAACAGTGTGTCAGCCATTCTTCCCTTGATCACTGCTGCCCTGCTTTTGAATTGTATCTCCTTTGGTCGCTGGTCACCATTACATGGTCTTGAGATTTCAATATTATGGCATGAAAACCACCTCTAAACTGCTTTTCATACCTGGGAGGCCATAGAAAATTTGCCAAAACAGTGTTCTGAATTTTGCTTTGGATAAGTGGTGAGATAAAAAGAGATTTAAGATACTTTAAGATTTAAGCTACTTTTGTAGCCTCGGTCCTCCACAGGTCCAAAGTCTTTTTTAAATAATGGATTCAGAACAGTAGGCGATTGGGCAAATCAGAAAGACACCTTCTCTGCAAATGTCCCATGACCACCTTCCGGGAACCTACTCCACCAATGGCCAGCCCACCGGTGAAGAAGTGTCTTCCTGGGACTCCAAATGCTCTTTCTTCTGAAAAGATCCTATAAACTACAGCTGGGTGTGGTAGAAATAATGTTCTCAGCATTCCACCGCAGGTCTGCCAGGGCTTTTGTGAACCAGCCTGGGTGTTTAGTATTGGTTTTTCAGGAGTATTCCATCTGAGGGCTAAACGAAACTTGAAAGTAATTTGTGGAATATACCTGCCCCTAAACTGAGGACGTTGTTCTGTCCATTTTCATGCTCTCTAAATCCTAAAAGACTAGGAAATTTGGTGCTCCAGTAAGCATAACCCCAAATGCCAGTTCTGCCAACCTTCCTAGTTCACTGGTTCTGGGAAAATTCTTCAAGCTTTCAGCTCAGTTAACAGCATTTTGCTTTTGAAAGACATAGTATCACTTCTTTCAAAGACCCCTTATCCATGCTCTGACCTTCTTGGCACATTCCAAATGATGGTCCTTTCTTCTGCAGAGCCAAGTCCACGGATAAAGAGACTTATCTTTACATCAGTGGTGTGGGGCGGTTCCCCTTGGCCCTCTGCTGGATCTTACGAAACAAAACAAGCACAAAGCCACCCTCTCTCGCCTCGACCCCATCCTCTTGTTTTTGTCCTATTCCTTTCCTTTGCAATCTGCTACCAGCCCACCAGACTGACTCTCTAAATCCTCTCACATTCTGACCTTTCTTTGAATCCCAAACCCCATTTCCTACTTCCTGTCTTTGTTTCTATGAGCATGTGTGACACTCCTGACCCCACTTCTCTTGTACTCAGCATCTTGTGTCCCAAACTGCCTGGCTTCCAACCTTGTTAACACAGCTCCTTCTCTTTCATCTTGCCTGGTGTACACTTCTTTCTTCTTCAAGGCCCCTCTTTTCTATAACTCCTGCCCTTTTCCTGATGGGTATCAGGATTCCAGCCTCCCCTCCCACCCAATTTCTCGCAACTGCCTTAAAGAGCAGCCCTGATCCTGTCATTCTGATGCCCAGACAGGAAACACAGACCACAGGATACATGTACTCAGACTTGAGTGTGATGGCAGTACCCCATATAGAGTGTATTTTGGGGCCAGATAAAACTAGAGTTCAAGCATTCTGTGTCGAGAGCAAGTTAGTTAAGAGCAGGGCTGCCCTCCAGGAAGAGTGGAAAGAAAGATACAGAGAGAGAAAGGATCTGTGTCCAAGCGGGTGAGGATGGCCAACAGCCAGAGGACCACGAAGGTGGAAAGGCCTCCAGCATACTAAAGACTGCTGGAACCCCCGCCCGAGCCTGTCCTCCTCCTCAACATCTGCCTGAGCTCCCCACCCAGGAACAGAAGACCCCTGTGTCCTCAGTATACCTCCACTGCCTCCACATGCCCAGTGCTCTGAGTGTCCTGGGCGTGTTCTCAGCTAGGCTCCTTTTCCTCCAAACTGGCAGCCATGATGATCCACAACAGTCAGATCACACCCAGAGTAAAGAAACCAAACTGTGCACACACCCCGGGAGCGAGCATGGAGCCTGTACAGAGGGTAGCCAGCTCCTGGTCTCCCCAGCATGGCTTTTTCAGTGGTCTTGATAAGACTGTGTGGTGAACCCACTCTGCAGCACTAAAGCTTCTGGGTACCATGGAGGCTGCCATTAGTCTACTAGTGTAAGAATTCCCACACAAGGGACCCGGGACCCAGTTTCTCTGGGGAGGTCGCACTGAGAGGACCTGAGAGCCTCGAGGGCTACCTGCAGCCTGGTTTCGAGTCATCACCCAACAGATGCTCCTCTGCTAGCAGGAATCCCTGTTCTCATTGCTTGATTGTAGAAACTCCTGGGGATGCCCATCCCCCTAAGACTAACAGAATATCTAGGTGACGAGTCATAAGACCTGTGGGTGATGGAGGGACAAAAGTAACAACATCTGAACCTGCTGATCCATTTCAGAATAATACAGTGGGCCACAAGACACCAAGTGCTTCCCAGTGTGGGGCAAAGGGTGCCTAGCACCACCGTGAGTCTCCTTGCCATGCCATTGGACCTGAAGCCATCGAGCTTCTGTGCATGCTGCCTGGTCACAGGAGCCATGGGCGGCAAAGAAGCATAGTTTACCTGAATTACAGCAGCACTACTCAGACACTGACTGAGAGACCCAGGTCACCTGGGCACTCAGTGAGATGTGGATCCTGATGCAGCAGAGCGGTGGGCAGTGGGGAGCCTGAGACTGCATTTCTCATGAGGTCCCAGTGCTGGTCTGTGAGCCAGGGGCTGCACAACAGCATGACCCAGTGTTCAGCAGAGGGTGGGTGGAGCTGCCATTATAGATGAAAAGAGGATTAAGAGAGGTGACAACCAAATGCAACACGTGGCCAAAAAAACAAGAGTGAAATTAGTGTTGGTGACTGGGAAGGAATTTAACATGGACTGGATAGTAGATGAGATTAAGGAACTATTAATAATATTGGCTGTGTTAATAATGTTAAGATGCTATTTTTAAGCCCTTACTTGATATATATGTTTCGTGTGTGTGTGTGTGTGTGTGTGTGTGTGTGTGTGTGTGTGTTTAATGGAAACCGACCGCTGTTGAGCTTTCCAAGCCCCGTGATCTTGGAAAACAGTAAAGGCAAAAAAACAGCAAAGGTTAAAAATACCCCACCCCTGTTTTGTGTTCTGGAAAATGGCTCACTGCAGAGACGAGTGAGCTATCTCTGGCTTACTTGCCCCACGTGACTTAGGTGAGACTTGGGATGTTCCCTCTTTATCTAGGACGAGCCAGACATAACCTTGACCATGAAAAGTATTTATGAGTGAAGTAATATGAAGTCTGGAGCTGGATTTAAATATTGTCCAGCAAAGGGAAAAAAGGAGAGAGCAGATGAAAAAAAAAAAAAAAGGCAAAATTGTTGAAGATGGATATTAGGTACATAAAGAGACTTTTGTGAAATTTTTTGAAATTTTTCATAACAGTTTATTTTAAACAGTAAAGGACGTATGCCTTCTCCCACCGGGGGCTGAAGGGAGAGGCAGTTGGAGGTCCTTGAGCTGATCCTCCTGTCTTGAGCCCCAGCCTTGACTTTGGCCCCTAGGCAGCCTGTTGTGTACCTCGGCCCCATGGTCTGGGGCAGGGCCAGCACCCAGCCTTACAGGCCTGCTGAGACTGTGGGAATTAATTTGCATGAAACATATGCCTCCCACCCAGAGGATCTGAAGGGATTCAGAACAGGCCTTTCCAAGATGTGCCACTTTGGCATGTGGATCATTTTGAGCTGAAGGCAACTGAGACCCTGCGGCTTATGAGAAACTTTTACATCTCCCTTAAAGAATTCAAATTAGGGGCCTTTCCCATAATAAGAGTTATCATCAGAAATAACTTTTTATGACCTGTCTATTGGGCAGGGCCAACTACTAGTTACTAAACATCCGCTCTTCTTATTATCCTGTCAATGTCCTTCTTCC